TTCAGAGGGTGATCGGTGGATTCTTTCAATTTCTGTTTTACCCTCTGGTTCTAGAATATCAGGGCAGTTTTCCTCCCTGACAAATAATTTCTTGAAAAATGATGTCTAGGCTTTTTTTTGATCATGGTTTTCAGGTAGTCCATTAATTTTTAAGTTACCTCTCCTGGATCTATTTTCCAGTTCAGTTGTTTTTCCAATGAGATATTTCACATTGTCTTCTATTTTTTCATTTTTTGGGTTTTGTTTTACAATGTCTTGATTTCTCATAAAGTCATTAGCTTCCATTTGCTCCATTCTAATTTTTAAGGACTTATTTTCTCCAGTGATTTTTTGGACTTCCTTTTCCATTTGGCCAATTCTACTTCTTAAGGCATTATTCTCCTTATTGGCTTTTTGGACCTCTTTTGCCATTTGGGTTAGTCTATTTTTAAAGGTGTTATTTTCTTCAGTATTTTTTGGGTCTCCTTTATCTAGCTGTTGATTTGTTTTTCATGATTTTCTTGCATTACTCTCATTCCTCTTCCCAGTTTTTCCTCTACTTCTCTTACTTGCTTTTCAAAATCCTTTTTAAGCTCTTCCATGGCATGGGACTGATTCATATTTTTCTTGGAGGCATTGGATGTAGGAGCTTTGACTTTGTTGTCTTCTTCTGGTTGTATGTTTTGATCTTCTTTGTCACTAAAGTAAGATTCTATGGCCTGACTTTTTTTTTGCAGTTTGCTCATCTTCCTAGCCAATTATTTGACTATTAAACTCTTTAAGGTAGGGGTCTGTTTCCAGTGTGGAGAATGTACTGTCCCAAGCTTCAAGGGTTTTGTGCAGCTATTTTCAGAGATACTTCTAGGGACCTATAAATTTTCAGTTCTTCCAAGGTGGTATGATCAGGGGCAGCTAGGTGGCACAGTGGATAGAGCACTGGCCCTGGATTCAGGAGGACCTGAGTTCAAATCTGGCCTCAGACACATAACACTTACAAGCTGTGTGACCCTGGGCAAGTCACTTAACCCCCATTACCCAAAAACCCCCCCCAAAACAAAAAAAAAACAAACCAAAAAAACCCCCAAAACCAAGTATGATCAAAGGTGAGGGGTTTATTCCTTTCCTGGCCTGTTGCTCTGGTCTATGAGTGACCACAAGCACTCTTTTATGCCTTGGAACTGTAAGGATTCCCTCTCCACTGCTGGCACAAACTCCCCACACCACACCAGTGCTCCCCCTTGCCCCAGGACCACCACCCAGGACTGCAACTCAGATCCAAGCACAGGCAAAGCAAGGGGATCCTGCCTCAGCACCAGCAAAGAGATCCCTGCAGTCCCCCTCTGATCAGCTGCTTGATCCTTGGCCCATCTGTGGGCCAAGAATGCCAGAAGCAGCCACGGCCCTGGGGCTGTGCTAGGACTGGGGCCAGAATGAACTCCTCTCTCACTGAGGTCCGACAGACCTTTCCTACTGACCTTCCAAGTTGTCTTAGAGAAGCTTGGAAACCGCCATAGCTCCCCTTAATTCAGTCCCCTGAGGCCTGCTCCATGTTTGTTAAGGTCCCACTTTTGCCTGTGCGGCCCACGATGAACTACGCTTCTCTCCCAGCCTGGCACAACACGTTTTCCATCAACTATCCAGGTTGTCTTGGGCTGGAAATTTGTTTCACTTTGTCTTTTTGTGGGTTCTGCTGCTTTAGAATTTGTTTAGACCCATTTTTTACAGGTATTTGGAGGGGTTTGGGGGAGAGCTCAAGCAAGTCACTGCTTTTACTCTGCCATCTTGGCTCCACTCCTTCTCAAATCATTTTCATAAATTCAAAAGATTTCCAGAACCCATGTGTAAGGCAAACAATGCTTATACTGCTGCTCTTGAACAAATGCCTGATTTATCTGTCTTGTAGGGCATGTCTTACTAGGAGGTACCTGACAAGAACCTTGTGGTTCTTGGTCAGTGAGAGTCACCTCAGACATTTATTGTATATTTAGTTATATTTTGAGTTAATGTTTAATCAAATGGAACACAATCTGTATAAGTTGTGCCAATTTCCCTCTTTCCTAATGTCACCTTTGTGCCTCAGTAATGGGACTATTCCCTTCTGGTTTTGTGTCCCCTATGGAAGACTGCCCTGTATTGATTTGACTATATTGATTCACAGAAAGATTAAGGTCTCTGTGACTCAAAGGGAGTGGGGGGAAATGTGAGAAATAATTCATTTGAACCCCTACTCTATTCCAATCAGTATTAATCAGTTTGCTATGATTCCATAGGGATAATGATTATAAGTTTTGTATATTAGGCCCCAGAGCTGTGAACTGCACATTTTAAGTTCACTTGCTTAAACTAGAGGCCCTCCCACCTTGTTTTTCCTTGTTATGGTGACTAAGCCCAGCATGGCTATGACTCAGTTACATGGAAAGTCCCCCAGGTTATTTATTTTATTTTTTTGAGGCAATGGGGGTTAAGTGACTTACCCAGAGTCACACCAGCTAGTGAGTGTTATGTGTTTGAATCCAGATTTGAACTCAGGTCCTCCTGACTCCAGGGCTGGTGCTCTATCCACTGTACCACCTAGCTGCCCTTCCCCCACTTATTATTTTTTTACCTCTGGACCACTTTCTCTTATTTATGAACAGGTGACCATCTTATGACCAATTAGTAGAGATCCCTCATACTTGACCCAACCCAATGTCAACCCTGCTGACATACCATTTCTAGTCGATGCATCATTTTTTGGTCCTCGAAACTGGGTCTATCAACCAATGGGATTCTGTATTTTGTGTAGCTTCTTTAGAGCATTCAGATATCAAACCTGGTATTAAGTCTTATAAAAAAGGCCCCGGAAGAAGGAGGCATCTTAGATTCTGAGGAAGATCTGAAGTTCACTTCATTAGAGGGGACCATGGACCCTTTAATAAAGGGCCATTGGCTCAAAGCCCTGCCTCTGTCTCTTTAATTATAGGTTGGACAATTTTAATCTCCACATATTAGGCTCCCTTTTCTCTTCTTAATCCCTAAATTTGTCTGAATTTGTTCAAAATCTACAAGACCTTGTGGTTTCCAGGGGAATTCCCATCCTAGAGTAAATCCTTAATCTTATTATCAATCAATAAACATTTTTAAGTACCTTCTATGTGTCAAGCACTGTCCTAAGCTCACCTTTGTAGATAATAATTCACAAGGAAAAATCTTTAGTTTTTCTACAGGAGAGTTAAAAAGAGATGTTTTCAAATGGGAGCAAATCACTCTCTTCCAGGTATCAAATATGTCTATCTGGCCAGAAGGTGGGGGAAGATTGGTCTACAATCCTTAATGCAGTGGGTGTGCATGGAACTGGAGCCTCTATTGGCTGCTTAGTGCTGACTAGACTAGGTCCTAACTTGTAACTCAGCTGATGAGGAAACTGCTCTCTAGGGCCAATGACTCTGACCTGAATAATGAAGTCCTGGAATATTAAAAAGAGAATCAGTTCAATAACAACGGATGTCACCCACCCCCCATTCCCATAGCTGGAGGCAGTCACTAGTCTCTCTCTCAGGAAACCTGGAAGTCCCTGAAGCTAAGGCTCCTGTGATTATTGTAAAACCCTGGGAGGAAAGATCAGAGGGCAGATAACCTACGGAGCAAAGAGCTAAGGATTAACAGGAGACTATAAGCATAGGTCTCACATTTACATGGCACATTTAACATTTAAAAATCACTTTCCTCACAAAAATCTGATGAAGAACTGCCATTTTACAAATGAGACTGACAAGTTACATGGTTTTCAGTTATATTTACAGGGCATATAGTTAATGATGGGTCTCCTGATATCCAGTGGAAGATTCTTTACACTCCAGATTGAAGCATACTTTTTTTTTTCAATTTTTCTTTTTTTTTCCTTTTTCAATATGTTCAGTATGGAATATACTTTGCATGATTTCACATATATAATCACTGTCATATTGCTTCCCTTAACCAGGTATGGGGGAAGGCCAGGAGGATAGAAGAGATTTTGGAACTCAATTTTTAAAAATGAATGCTAATTTTTAAAAATTTATTTGGGAAATGTTTAACTTAATAAATGGAAAAATATTTCTGAAAAGATTCTTTGCACTTGGTACCTCTTAGATGTCTCTTGTGGTAATGGTAAGTTTCCTTCCGTGGTTTGTTTGTTTTTTCCTGATGATCTCAAGTGCCCTGTCCTTGGATACCTTTAATTCTAAAGAATGTCCTGAGTAGACTGGAAGCCTTACAAATGGTGGTACTGTCTCCTTGAAGAATGCCAGTCACGACTGAAGGTACCATTTAAATTCTCAGCTACTTATGTCTCCTCAACCTCCCAAATGTTAACATTGCATTATTTTGTAAGTCCGTGATCAGGTACTCACTAAGCAGTTGTACGACATTGGCAAGCTACTAGACTTCTCTTTATCGGTTTTCCCCTCTGCAAAACAGGGCTAGTAATATTTGCAATAGGAGCTCCTAGATTTGAGAAAACAACAACAAAAACTATAAATAAAACCATGTAACTTATTTTTATCCTCTGGAGTGTAAGAATGAAAAAGCACTTACTATGTTCCACCGTGCTAAGTCTACGGGTACAAAAACAGCCTTCCCACAAGGAGCTTACATTCTAATTGGGGAAAACAACTTGCAGGTGAGTGCAGGCAGGAGACGCACTCTGGTCTAGACTGATACAAGGGTAGAGCACGGGGGAGTAGGGGGTTGACACAACCCACCCAGGGACAATGACAGCTTAGATTCCATCATGGTTGCTGGTTCAAGAACTAAACTGTACAGAGAAGAAGAAGAAGGCGCATTGTAGCCAGGGGGTGGGTTAAGAGGCTGCAGACGTGGCCGGAGACGGAGGAGAGATGCATGGCCGAACTGGGAAGTAGTCTCCAACGAGGGGAGTTCACGGCAGAAGTACTTCCGGGGCACGAAGTACGGCCTTAAGCGGGAAGGATTCCCCCAGCCAATAAGCGGGTATTGACGACTGCCTTTCCTCAGCCGTGCTTCGGAAGTGCCCTAGATCTTACCGTCACTGAAGGTTCGCCTACTCCAACCTCTACCGCCCCCTTCCGCCGACGCCCAAAAGCCGCCAGACGGCCGCGCCAGTGCGCCTGCGCCGAATTGTGCTGCCTGCCTCGGGAGCAGAGGGAGAAGGACGAGTGGAGAAGGGGGCCAATTCTCGTCCTTTTTCTTCCCCATATCGATTCTTCGCTTGGGTAGGGGTGATTGGCGCGTGCGCAGACGCAGGCGCACTGACAGCCCAACACATTTTCCCTACCCTTTCCACACTTCTCCTTCGCCGGCGGGGATCTACTTCCGGTAGCTGCCCGGAACCGGGGGCTTGCGAAGGAGGCTCAGGGGGAGGGACACGTTTACTCGGCGGCGATGGCGGCCGGGAGTGGGGGTAGCTGCCTCGATGCGCTGGTGAGTGCGGTTCCCCCTGAGTGGGTCCCAGGGTCGGTGGGGTGGGACGGGACTGGGCCGGGTTTTGATCGTGCTCTCTCCCCGCTGTTCTCTTTGCAGGGCCCCGGGGAGCTGCTGTCGGCGGCTCAGGCTCTCTCCCTGCCGGCCGAGGCCTATGGCAACGATGTGAGTACAGGCCAGACCCCCGAGCGCCCCGTGCCAGGCCCCTTGCTTGCCCCGCGCCTCGCCAGCTCGACGTCCCCGACCCCTGCCTTTAGCTTCTAAGCGAAGCAGCCGAGGGCACGTTCCTGGAGCGCTCGTTAAGCCCCCGGGGGCATCCGACGCAGGGGGGCCTTTTGCTTTCAATGCCGTCTCCTCTTTTTCTCACTACCCCTTGACGGCCTTCTCTACCGTCCCTTCCCTTAATACTGGTTCTGATGACAAATCCTTGCCAAGGCTGAGCTGTCCACGTGCACCCCGATCCCCTCCCCCCTTTCAGTTTCTCCTTCTCTACCAGTTTCTTTCCAGCTACCAGCAAACATGCCTTTTTACCCCAATCCGTAAACTGTGGGGCCCATGAACAGATTTCAAAAACATTATTTTTGGTAACTACTTAATATGTTTGGTTTCCATTGTAATCCTACATGTTTCTGATATTTTGAAAAGGGGTCATTTGGCCTCACCAGAGTGCCAAGGTGGTCTATGGCATTAAAAAAGTTTAAGAACATTTGCTTTAGATCCTATTATGGAGAGGCACCATGATACAGAGAAATAGAGCATTGATTATGGAGTCAGAAGATCTGGGCCGAAGTCTCACTTTTGACACTTGCTATATGTGTGACCTTAGGCAAGTTATAACCTTCCTAGACCTCAGTTTCCTCAACTGTAAAATGAAGATGTTGTATTAGCTGGCCTCTGAGGCACTTTTCAGATTCAGAACTGCCTTCCATGTAACCTTGGAACATTTCAAACTGGATATTCCATAGGCATCTCAAATTTAGTATGTTTTCCTTCTTTTAGATTCCCTTATTTGTTGGGGGTACCACCATCTTCTCGATCATCAAAGTTGGAACTTATCCCTCCTCTCTAATCAGCTGCCAAATCTTCATGTTTCTATTTTCAAAGCATCCTCACATCTGACCCGTTCTCTTCACTCAGGTAGCCACCCTTCAAGGTTTAGGCCACCAGCACCTGTGGCTTGGATTATTCTAATAGCCTCCTCAGTGGTCTCTTGCCTCAAGTCTTTCCTTACTCCAGTTCATCCTCCATTTAAAATATCTAAAACATGTCCTTTGTACTGTATGTTGTGTTTGATAATAATCCTATAATTACAGAAGCACAGATTAACTTCATTTTACAGTTGAAGAACCAAGGCACAAGCAAATCAATCTTAAGAGCTAAGGAATTAAGCAAATAGTTGACCTGATTCCATTCCAGTACTGTCTTTCATTCTTAAGACCTGGATATACATGGCTGTCCCCATCAGTACTCTTCCATGTTATAGCAATGTAATGGGTGAGACTCTTGATCCATCTAGCCTAGTTGTTAACTTCTGACAACTGTGGCATCTAGAGAGAGCAGCTTGGTTGTTGTCACCTGTGTCCTCAAGTGTATCCTGGATAGCAGTTAATTGTCAGGTTTTTTTTGCTCAGAATAGAGCAGGGCCTCTTTTTCCTCGTGTTCCTTCAGTTCAGGCTGCTTGCTCTTTTGTGCCAAGCTAGCAGCAGCACCGAAAGATAACTTGTCCTTCTTTGTTGTATTGCAGCCTAACATTGAGATGGTTTGGGCCATGAAGGCTATGCAGCATGCTGAGGTTTATTACAATGTGAGTCTTTTTCATTTCAGCTTTTCAAATTGAATTAAGGAGACCCTTCATGGTGCTAAACATTTTATAGTACCTGCCTTTTGGGAGGTTGGGGTGGTATTCATCCTAGGGTTTAAAGAGCAGATAAAAGATTAAGGAGAACTTGGCTTTAGCAGAGGAAAAGAACTGTTGTATTTATTTCTCTCATTCTTTCTCGGGCTGGGTGACTAACAAAGTTGTCTAATTCCTCGGAGACACCAGTGCAGTAGAATTAAGTGCTAGATTTAGGAAGAAAGGACTTGAGTCCAAATTCTAGTTCTGCCACTTGCTACTTTTAGGACCTTGAGCAAATCACTTTGTTTCCTCTTCTGTAAAATGAAAGGCTTGGACTAAATGTCTCTTTCCACTCCAGATCTAAGATCTCTCAGTAGAAATAGAGTAGAGCTGGGTCAAGGGGATTGTAGTGTCCTTTATAATAATGCCATCATCATGCCTAGGAGTTAAGACTTATGTTTGAGATGTTTCCTTCCCTGTTATCTGGCAGTTGATTTCTTCAGTTGACCCCCTGTTCCTAAGACTCACTAAAGTGGATGACCAGATCTATTCAGAGTTCCGGGAGAACTTTGGGAAGCTCAAGATAGACGTGTTGGACCCAGAAGAGCTCAAATCAGAACCAGCTAAAGAAGTAAGGAGGATCTTAAAAGGACTGAATTAAAATTGTGGTTAATGGATTTATCTTACTATGGAATTGAGAGAAAAATAAAATGTTAGAGTGAATGGCTACAGGTATTTAGAGGCTGCTTCTCTGGTTCACGGATCATGTGAGTCTCTCACCTTCTGGCTATTTCACTTGTTATTGGCATCTCTGGGGTAAATAGCTTACTCCAGAAACAAAATATTTAAAGAAAAGGTTAAAATGAAGCATTTTAGTTCCCTTGGATGTATGTTATCCCATGACTGTAGATTGTTAGAAACTGGCTGCACTTCTAAAATTTAACCTGTAATTTCAGTTACTTTAGTTGACTTTTTCCCACTTCAATAATTATTGGTGTTAACCATAATTATTACATAATCGATGATTAGAGCACTGTTTAATACAGACTGAGGGTCTAATGCCCACCTTTTCTTTTTTTGAAGCTGAGTCACAATCCTTGTCTCAGGCTGAAAGTGCAGTGGTGTTCATGGATCTAGTCCCACTGTTTCCACATGGAAACTTTACCTTGCTGCACTGGGCTAGTTTGCCCCTCTTTAGGCAGTCTGCTCCCTGGATTCACCATATTGGTGCCTGACTTAGTGCAGACATCTGATCTGCTCGGCAACTCAGAAATGCCAGACTCCAGCAATTCCACCAGCCTTACCTTTCCCCAGGAGCAAGTGTTCCCTGTGTGCACTATCATGCCCAGCTCTATTCTTTCTTTTTTCTGGGCAGTTGGGGTTAAGTGACTTGCCCAGCGTCACACAGCTAATAAGTGTCAAGTGTTTGGTCTGAGGCTGGATTTGAACTCAGGTCCTCCTGACTTCAGGCCATTCCTGTGTTCTGTCCACTGTGCCACCTAGCTGCCCCCCTCTATTCTCTTTTAACTTTAATGTGAGGTGCATCACTTGATAGAATTGATATGTCTGTTTTCTTAGCCATATGGATAAGAACACAGCTTGGTCCTCTTAGGTATTCTTAAATTTCTGTCCTGCCAGTGAACAATAATTGCAATCTTAGTGTAAGCTTGTTCCCCATTAGAGATTTGGTCTGTGTAGGGCCATAGTAGATGGGTATTTATGATTTTCCTGGTCTGGGTTTTGCTTCCACAGAAGTGGAGACCATTTTGCATGAAGTTCAGTGGTATTGTTGAAGACTTCAATTATGGTACACTGCTGAGGCTGGACTGTACTCAAGGGTATAGTGAAGAAAACACTATCTTTGGTGAGTACGGTGGTGCTTTAGTACAGACATTTTTTCAGTAGACAGAATCTTGATCTTATTTGAGAAATTACCATTTGTATATCATGCATTTTATTATCAGGATTTCTACTAGGATATAAAACTCCTTATCCTGTAGGCCTTTGCAGTTTTATTGTGGGTGAAACCTTTGGTTGAGGGAGAAAGTTTTCTTATTCTCTTTCAGAAGAAAAGGACGTCTGAAATTTAATTCTCCTTGCTTTCCAGCCACCAGGATACAGTTTTTTGCTATTGAGATAGCTAGGAACCGGGAAGGTTATAACAGAGCTGTTTACAACATTGCTCAGCAAAATGGTGCAGCAAAGAAAGACAGCACTCTGTCCAGGTAAAGATTGCAGGAGCTACCAGTCATTCAGATCACTGAATCTGATATCCAAGAGAACTTTCAAGAACTTTTGTGGATTAAAGAGGCATCATTATTTGGCATCTGCTCTGTGTTGTTTCCTGATTGGACCATTGAAGGTGTCACACAAACTCTTCTCAGGGTTTACAAAAGAGGCAGTGTTCACAACTCTTCAAGGAGCAATCACTCAATTAAAAAAAAAATTTTTTTTTGATCTTGTGACTAGTAGGGATATAGGCCATACCTTAAGAAAAGAAAATATACAAAAATACAAGACATTGTTGGGTGTGTTCGTGAACTTTATATGGGAACTTTTATAAAAAGGATATTCTTTATATTTTACCCTTCCTGGTTCTTTTTCAGTGTTCTCAGAAGTAAATAGTTCTTGAAATATATGTGCTCTTTAAATTGTTCTAAGTCTAGGGCAACTATATAACATATCTTTGCTATATCTCTTGTACATTTCTGGGTTAACAGTTTATACTATTTCCTGTAATGTCTAAAAGCAGGTTTGGTTACAATGGTAACCTGCCAGCTATGGCATTATATCAATCATTATGTGCTTTAATATCCATGCCATGACTAGAACACTTCAACAATGGATGAGAATAAATTCAGTAGAAACCATTGAAGTTTATTGGCGGTCACAATGCTTACACTGTATGTAGCAAACACCCTTACAAGTCAACCGTCAATCTGACCACGCAAGAAAGGACCCAACACACAATCGCCAGAGGAAAGAACAAAAAACAAAAAAAAAAACCACAAACAAAAAAGAAACAAAAAAACTAAACAGGGTTGGGTGGGGTGGGCAAGGGAAGAAAAATGAAAATAAAACCTAATTGATGTATCCCTTGGGCAAGAGCTGAACTAGAGATGCACACAACTAGCAGCAACAATTGTGGGAAAGGTAAAAGGCAAACAGCTTTCTCTATTACTCAGTAGGTAATTTTTTGTTTTTAATATTAAAAACGTTTACTATGGTGGGGTTTTTTTTTTAAAGGGAAAAATGTATTCTTTCTTTAAAAGGGGCAGAAGGAGAAGGATGTTAAATATTTCATGCTAGGCAGACCTTGTTATTAAGAACCCCCTCCTTTGTGGTAACTTTCTCCAGCTCATACATTCATGAGTGCAGGGTATATATAGATATATATAAATATCCACACACACACATCCATACACACTCATCTACACACACACACACACACACACACACACACACACTCTGCCTCAAGGGCTGGGGAAGACTAAAAGTTATTGGCCATACGAACTTGGCCGGAAGTAGCCATGTTCAGAGCTGTTCAGCCCCAGGGCAATAAGCTTTTAATTTCAGCTCCTGTGTCTCCACACCTAAGACACCCAAGAAATCATTTAACATATGGTTAAAAATCACACTGCCTTAGAGCAAGAGGCCTCTGTCTGGGGAAATGGGAGAAGGGAACAAGATCAAACACTTTAGCTGGAGTATCTGTCAATGGCCGGAGGGCTCAAGGAGGGATGGTGCTTGGTTGGACATGGCTTAGAGTTCCTAATAACAAGGGTTAAGACAGTAACAGGAAGTGGTAATTTCAGGGAGAAGTAAAGGGACGGACAATAAGAAAAAATATACATTTGGAATTACTTTTTTTGCCTCTCTCTACACTTGTCACTAAATATATCTCTGCACTTTCACACACCCTCATCCAGTAAAGCTTTAGGCCACCAGAATACACATTTTCGTCACTCGCATACACAACCCCTCACTTCAGCATTGGTGCACTAGACTCTGTAAAAATTTTTCAATCACACTTTTTTTTTTTTTAAACTTGAGTCAATATAAACCTTGTTCAAAATGTTATGAAAAAATGTACATGTTTATACAAGGCAGGTTGTGTCAGGACGCTGGGGTTCTTCCCCTCCACCAGGAAGAGGGGGCCGGATTCTCATACCTTCCTGCTCACTATCCCCACTTCCCCCAACCCCACCCCACCTCCCAGGAACCAAGCAGTGCCCTGCCCCCCAGTGAGCACAGGCTCACACCCCTCTTCCCTGGGAAAACTGTCAAACTGACCTTTGTAATTCCCCCCCCAGAGGGAGGAGCAAGGGTCAGCAATACCCTCTCCCCCTCAGAATTGTTCAACCCTCTGGGCCAGACCAAAGGGACACTGCTCTGTACAGGTGGAATCTGGTAAGGTGTCAGCTCATCATGTCATTGCTATTCACGCCATAGGTGGAATTTTTCATGGAGTCATTGACTTCCCGACGAAATGCTGACAAGTTCTGGGTGAACCTGCAGAGGAAAATTGCATGGGTTATAGGAGGAAGAAGAGTCTCTCTTAAGAATGTTTCCCCCCTCTTTCAGTGAAGAAATGCCTATTTCTAAACATGAGAACTGACATCAGACCATTTGACATTTCCCCTCTTTGAAGGCTCTGTGGCAAGGTTAATTAGGGTTCTAGTTAAGTCTCAAGTCCAGAATAAAGAAAATTTGCAGGTGAAGCTGGGTAAAATAAATAAGACACTTTAGTTAGAACTCAAAATCCTGCAGCTCAAAGGGACTTTGGGAGTTCCCCAACATTCTCATTTTACTAAGGAAACTAGCTTATAAAAACTTAAGGTCACACAGAGGTTTAACAACTGAGAGAAGCACACATGCCTCAGTTTCCAGAGATATTTCTACAATATTATGGTGCTTCCATTAGACAGACAGGGTTGTTACCCAGCATTCAAGATAAGGAAAAGGGGTTAGTTGAGATTTAGACCTGGGGAAAGTAATGCTATCTATAATACCAGCACCAAAAAGCATCACTTTAACATTTTCTGAGTAGGGAAAGGCTGTTATAAGGGAAGTAAATCCTGTAAATGTGTTGCCAAATTAGAAAATGTCATCAGTGTATACTCACCTATCTCTGTTTTTTGTCAGAAGATTTCGTTCAATGCCTTCCATCAGGTTCTCGAAACACAGGTGCATTGCCTGCTGTTTTTCAGGGGGCTGGCTGTTCACTATACTGTTTCTTAAATCTGAGAAATACTGTTAGGTGGGTAAGAAGGGTAAGACAGAAGACAAGGGAAAGAGAAAGGATGGTTTAGGCTTCACCTGTGTGCCATAACTAATTTCTCATTCCTTATATAACTGTTACAAAAAAGTAGTATGTACAAAACACTGCTACATGCAAAAATAAAAACACACAAAAATAAAGATAAGGTCTTTTGGAGTTGACAGTCTAAAGCTGTAAAACAAACTAAAACATGGTAAGGGTATGAAAGGAAACATTTAAGTTCTGAGTGTAGTCAGTAAACATTTATTAAGAGCCTACTATGTGCTAGGCATTGTGCTAAATACTGGGGATACAAAGAAAGGCAAAAGATAGTCCCTGCCTTTGAGGAGCTCACAATCTAATGGGAGAGGTAAACATGTACAAACTACATATAGGATAATTTGAAATAGTTAAATAGGTCCAACTCTTTCTTCCCTGAGGCTGCTGTGTCCAACAGTTTTTAAGTATTTTTCCCCTAAGGCCTGATAGGCACCTTAGTATTCATATCTTCTAAATAGCAGTAGAAAGAAAGCTTTCAATTTTGAAAGGCTAGGTTCCCAGTCTACCTCTGCTAGTAGTGCTTCAGGCATCCTTTGTAAATTAGGAAGTTGATTTAGATCTGGGTAACCAACTTGGGGCTCATGGAAAGACTTCAGGCAGTCTCTGAATTTGCACGGGGAAAAAAAAATAATACAAATCTTTATTTGAATATAATTGGGTTCTTTCTAATTTTATGTATTTAAAAACATTCACACAGACTGCCAGATGGGTCCATACCACAAAAAAGGTTAAGCACCTTTGGTTTAGTTCTATGATTTGGATCATGCCCTTATCATACAATTTGTAGCATTTCAAGAGATGGAAATAGAGGAGGGAACCATTCCAGGCATAGGAAAAAATATGAGCACAGTTGAGTTAAGAGTGCCAGGTATATGAGAACTTGCTGGAATTCAGACTTTTATTTGGTAGGCAACAAGCCAACTGAAGGCTTTAAACGCATTAGTAATAGCAGATTTGTGCAAAAGATCAGCCTGGCAGTGTTCTGGCGGCAGGAATCAGGCAGGCAGTAATCCAGAAAGGGTCCCTGTCTCTGTGTTTCTCTCTTTGCATTTTGGGTAGTTTCTGTATGGCAGTTTCTCATAGACAATTCTAAAACCATGGTGCCTTTCTTACCTTTTCATTAAGTAATATCAAACCAAGCAGAGGTCGGGACATGGACCACTGGTTCCGACAGTCCTCAAAAATGATAATATTCAGCACTGTTGAGAGCATCTGGAAGTAACGAGAACCAAGAATTTGATAAAGAGAGCAGCCTGTGAGCCTATTCAGGAGCTATATAGTATCCTGGCTACAAGTTGTTGGACGGTTTAACATGGTAAAGGCAAATGGAACTTTTCTGGTTTCCATGGATTTAATTTTGGTAGGTGGGGTTTGGTGGTGTTACCAAGCTTTAAATGTCCTTATTTCTAATACGTGTCTCTGAAAAACAATTTCATTTCATCTTAATTGTAACATTTTTGAAGGCATCAATTGTCTCTGCCAATGGAAGAGAAGTTAGTTAAGTTGGTTAGAATATCATGATTACAAGGCCAAAGTATTGAATTTGTTCTACGTGAGCCAGTTATTCTCATACTACCTTAACATCGACCACATGTATCCTTAACCCTGACTAACCATCTTGAAAATATGTATGTAGACCACAAAAGAGACTAGATCAAACTGGATGGATCAGGGTTAGTTTATTTCCACTATTCTTTAAACTTTATACCTATGTCCTACCCCAGGCTAATGGGGGGTGGGGTGGGAAAGAGAGGGAGAAGAGTCATCTTTGTAAAAGGACAGGATGAACTGGGGCATAGAAGGTAGACTTGTATATCAGGAACTGTGACCCTATCCATACATGACAATTATTTTGCTAAAATGGCATTATCTTCACAACTGGGGTGTTAGAGATGTGTCAAATATTATGTGTGAACCTTCCCAGAAGTAGCTGTCCTGACAGAATTCAATTCCCTGGCTTCACCTTCAAGTTGCTTACCTGTTGGATCATCTCTGGATGCTGCTGCATAATATGCAGGAAACGGTCACTTTCCTGGGTCAGAGGTGTTGTTCTCTTCTTAGTGCTACGTGATAGCTGTTTGAAGAGGTATGTCACAATGTGGTCCAGGCAGGAGCAGCAGCCTGTGCATACCATGGTGTCTGGGAGGGCCAAGAGAGGAGAGGAAATGGAGTTAAGATGCTACTGACTCAAATCCTTGG